ATCTAGAACCGCAGCAGTGTGGCACTGTAGACAGGAAGCTTCGCCGAGCAGGCAGATGAGGGGCCCGGAGCAGCAGCTGGGAAGGGAGGTCATCGGCCAGGGTGCTTGGAGGCCAGCAGAGAGGGAGGCTCTTCCCTGAGCTTGGATCACAGGAGGGTCAAGTGCTTCTCCACATGGAGGGGGGGAGGTGGGGGGAGGGGGCGTGTCCTCTGGGGATTTTGAGCTGTGGCTTCTTTCACTACCTCCCAAACTGTCAGAATCCTTAGCCAATAGGCTGGTGGCTTCTCCTGGGAGAGACCTAAGAAGGCGGTTCCTTTAAGGAATAGGTGGCTAAGTGTGTCCAGCAGGTGGTGCCCTCCTGTGTGATGAGGCCAGGTGCCAAGCCCAGCCCCCACCCCCACCCTGTATAAGAGACCACCCGTACTGCCAGGGCCAGCTGCTCCCCAAGGCCCCTTGGGTGTGGTGAGTTGCTGGAAGGACTGCAGTGGACCTCACCAAGTCCTGTCACAGGCACGCACACCTGGCCATCCCACCTGTGGAGCCACAGATGGTGCTGCTGACTCCTCCCTGACACTGCCATGTGACCACGTGACCCACACACACAGAGTCCTTACCAGGGCGGCACCTTGAGCGTCTGTGTCCTGTTCTGTTGTGGACTGGGTTGTGTCGCTCCAAGATTTGTATGTTAAGAGCTCATGGAGGCTGATGCCTGTAACCCCAGCACTGAAGAGGCTGAGGCAGGAGGATTGAAAGTTTGGGAATAGCCTGGGATACATAGTGAGACCCTGTCTCAAATTGAAGAAAGGAAAAGACAGGACAGGGTTGGTTTTTGTCTGCTTGTTTGGCTTTTTGTTTGTTTTTGTTTTTTTCAAGACAGGGTTTCTCTGTGTAGCTCTGGCTACCCTGAACTCTCTATGTAGACCAGGCTGGCCTCAAACTCAGAGATTCACTTGCCTTTGTCTCCTGAGCGCTGGGATGGAAAGTGTGGACAACCACTGCCTGACAGGACAGGGTTTTGTTTTTGTTGTTTTAATGAAAATGGCCATTTAGGAGATTTGGTTCATCAGCCAGGGTCAAGATGACTGTCGGCTGGTCATTTTCTTGTTCAGTTCTGCACTGTGACTCAGACAAGCACTTCCTGCTGAGTGACAGCCCAATACCCACCGAGACACTTGGGCGTGGTCTTACCATGGGTGCCATGTTTACAGGCTCTGCCCTTCCTGGAGTCCTGGCTCACGGCAGACTGAGGTTAGCAGGACACTATTGAGGCGGACAGGTGTCTCAGTGACTTTATGCCTTCAGCCTTGAAAGGAGGTGAGGGAGGTTTCGTTCATCTGGGACTCGTCCATCACCAGTTTAGACTGACATTTGGGGCCTTCACAGGCTGCATGCAGATCGAGCTGGGAAACAGAAGCCAGACAGGCTGGTTGCCTGCTTCCATCCTGCTGTGTGCCCCAGTGACTCTGGCCTGCTGGGGTCAGCGCTTCAAGCAACAGTTCTTTTTAGTTTTTATTTGTTTGCTTGGGTTTCTGGGATATAATTATGCTATGTGTTGTTCTGTTTTGTTTTGGTTTTGGTTTTGGTTTCTCAAGACAGGGTTTCTCTGTGTAGGCCTGGCTGTCCTTGAACTCATTCTGTAGAGCAGGCTGGCCTCAAACTCACAGAGATCCACCTGCCTCTGCCTCCTGAGTGCTGGGGTTAAAGGTGTACACCGCCTGACTTAGCTTTCGTTCTGTGAGACAGTCTTACTGTGTCTCCTGGCTGGCCTTGGACTCCTGACTCTCCTGCCTCAGCCTTGAGTGCTGGGGTCACAGGTGTGCCCCACCATTCCTGGCTGCAGCAAACACAGGCTCCAGGCTCTGGAGTACTTGTTGTCCACCCGGGACAGTGTTTGACCTCCCACGTGTCAGTGGCCCAGGGCAGGACAAGAGCTGTCACTTCTGTCCATTCTGTTCTTTAGAATGAGTCCTGAGTTTCCTCCCCACTAAGACCAAAGCACCACAGCTCGGGGACATCCTGACAGTGGCCAGGGCCTCAGTGAGATAAGTCAGAGACAGTCACTCAGGACTCTGTGAGTTTTTAAACTTAATGGCCCCTCTGTGGCATCCTGTGTGGCTTGGTCCCAGAGAGCTGACTGGGGCCACATGGGAATGAAGGGAGGGACAGACACACAGACAGAAAAGCTGGAATCAGGTGGCCGTGCTTTCCCTGGAGAAGGGCGGCCACTGTGTAACCGCCTAGGGAAGCTTGGTCCATGGTTACGTACCGCATAAGGAAGAGGCGCAGTCTCTATAGGAGAGTAGCATCTGGACTCCAAAAGTCTGGGAGAAGGGAGCTTCGCCATTTTTGTGGATCTGAGGTACCGGGGTTTTTGGCATGGCTGTGCCCATGCCAACAATGAACAGTCACTCAGGGCTTCCTCCATGCCCCACAGCCTCCAAGTCTGGTGTTCTTTGGGGCAAAAGCAGAACCCCAAATTCAAAGGTGTCTGAAGGTTTTGATTATTTAATTTAAAATTAAAAGCCCCGTCACTTACTCTGCTCTGGGCTCTGTGCTGGGCTCACGGGGACCAATAAGGAAATGGTGCCTACTTCCCATGCCCCCAACAAAAGCAGAGATAAGAGCTGCCACCTTAGTGCCTATGAATAAGTGAGCACACAGGTCAAAGAGGTCAAAGAGGCCTGAGCTGCCTTCCCCAAAGATGAACATGCTATGCTGGGCTTTGAGGGATGGATAGGAGCTCATTCCCCTGGCAAAGGAAGAAAGTCCATTCCAGACAGGGGACCAGCATATGCAAAGGTGTGAAGGGGCAGAGGGAGCCAGTGGGTTTGGAGACCAGGAACAGTCTGAGAGCTGTGTGCAGGTGGCAGGAAGGAGAGGGCAGATGGTAGGGGCTGGAAGCTGGGTCGAGAGACAGGGTAGCTGTGGCCAGCATGTCCCAGAATTAACTTCATGACTCTTGGTTATAGATGTAATCAGGTGTCTCTCCAGATAGGACTCTAAGGTCGTCTTAAGTCTGGGGAGCCTTGACTTAGGCCAGATTAAAAACCCCTTTCCACTAGGGCTGGAGAGATGATGGCTCTGTGGCTAAAGGCACCTGTTGTTCTTCCAGAGGACTTGGGTTTCGTACCCAGCACCCACATAGAGGCTCACAACCATATGTACCTCCAGTTCCAGGGTAATCCGATGCCATCTTCTGGCCTCCATGGGCACCATTCACTTGCCTGTGACATACATGCAGACTCTCACACATATAAAAAAGAAGACATAAATCTAAAAATTAAAAGGGGGAAAAAGCCTTCCCACGCTGTCTGGGTGGCTCATGCCTGCAGTCCCAGCTCTGGGAAGGCTAGGGGAGCAAGATCCCTTGCATCTATAGACAGCTTGACTGCTGGGTGAGTTCTTGGTCAGCCTGGGCTAGAATGAGATCTTGCTTCAAAAATAAGAACAAGCAAGCAAACAAAAACAAATCTTTCTCTTATGCAGGACTTCCCAGAGCCTTTAACTGTCAGGGTTGTAAATACCCCAGCAGGAGGACAAAATAAATGGGACTGAGTCAACACATAAGTATGGTTCCCAAACTCATTTGCTTTCTGTGCGCCTTCCCGGAGCATCTCAGAAGGCCAAATGTCCCAGGGGACAGACTTGAGGGAATGCTGCTCAGGCCTGTCCTCAGGGCATGGTATGACAGGATTTGTGTGTGTGTATGTGTGTGTGTGTGATGGGATTTTTGCTGTGATCGGGTTCCCAGGCTTGGCTGCTGTGCCAGGGAAGAGAGTATGGAGGATCCAGGAAACCCAACAAGAAATTGAAGGAGAGGCAAGGAGAGAGAAGGAAGTAGACACAGGAAGGGGAGGTAGGACCAACAGGCTGGGGCCCGGAGGTGTGGGTGGTAAGGATGCAGCTCTAGCCACCAGTGTGTGATGGTGTGTGCCAGTGTGTACCAATGGATGCTGGTGGCTGCCGGAGGGCGCTGGCAGAAAGGGGCGGGGCCAGGGCGAAGACTAGCAATGTCTTAGTTACTTGTTGACCGCTGCGACAAAACACCGCGACCAAGGCAGCTTATATATAACAAAGTGTTTAGCATGGGGGCTCACCGTTCCTGAGTTAGAGGCTGTGGCCATCACAGTGGGGAACGTGGCGGCAGGCAGGACGCTGGAGCAGTAGCTGAGAGCTTGTGTCTGATTCACAAGCATGAGACTGAGAGAGAGAGAGAGAGAGAGAGAGCACACACTCGGAATGGCGCTGGCTTTTCCAACCTCAAAGCCCACACCCCCAGTGGCACACCTCCCCAGCAAGACCGTACCTCCTAATCCTCCCCAAGTAGTTTCACCAAGTGGGGACCAAGCGTTCAAATATAGGAACCTGTGGGAGCCATTCTCACTCAAACCACCGCAAGCAGATAGTGACAACCCGCTGCAGCCAGAGCAGCTGAGCTGAATCAGGGAGGCGAAGCTTTGTCCAAGCTGACCGAGGTGAGGCAGGCAGCCTGAACATTTGAAATGAGGCGTGAGGACGCATGCCTGTCACCCCAGCACTTAGGAAGCCAAGGTGAGGTGGCTGCTGTGTATTTGGGGCCAGCCTGGGTCATATGCGCAAAAAGGACCAGAACTTTCCCTGAAGAGCCCTCCTACAAAGACATTCCCAGGGGCTGAAGAGGTGACTCAGCTGCCAAAGTCCAGGTCCCATCAAGGGACCTTCCCCAAGTAAGGAAAAGCACGCACCCACCAGGGAGACTTCTAGAAAACTCTCTGAGGAGATGGCGTTCAAGTGCCACCACTCCTGTGCATATCTCTGGGGACAGACAGTGTTCAGTGCCCTCACGGAGCTGTGCAAGGTTGGGAATGATGCCTTTCCCTTTCCTGAGCCTCAGTTTCCCCGGCAAGGGTGGCAGCGTCCCTTCGCTGAGCGTGGGCATTCTCAGAGCGAGGCAGAGGGACTGGGTGCACCTTGGCTGCCTGGAGGGGTTGACGCTCTCTGTCATGTCGTGTGTCCCTCAGGCTTTAAGATGTGTGTCAGCAGTGGCAGTGGCAACAGCCATGACGAGGCCCCTGTGCTGAGCGACAAGCACCTGAGTGTTCCCAACATCATCATCACCCCCCCGACCCCGACGGGCGTGGCCCTTTCCAGGGACTCGAAGCAGACAGGTGAGGCAACACCACACTCGAGACTGCTCCCAGGACCCCTTCTGTGCTAGGGCCTGACCTGATTTTTCATCACCCCCTGAGCTTGTTAATGGATGGTCAGCTCTGTGGCCGTTCCACTCTGGGCCCTTTGCCATGATGCCAGCACTGGCAAGCTGTGGCTCATCGAGTAATTGTCTGGGGAGTCCTTGCTCTCGACTGGGAGGGTTTGGATGGGTCTGGCCTGCCTCCCATGCCACGTCTTAGCCACTCACTGGGATCGAAAGTTACCCCATCCCTGCCAACAGCAGGGCGCACTGTCTTCCGTGGTGCTGGCCATAGCAGCTTGGACAACAGGATAATAGATTAGGAAATAGCCCCACGCCAGGCTGCGGCTGTCCTCGGGTCTTCCAGATGTGAGGGATGGGAAGACGTGAAATGTTCCTGGGCAGACAGCACTGGCAAGGGTGAGGTGCAGACTGGCGCCTTGTCTGTCTCCTGCTGATGCCCTCGGAGCTGGTAGGAGAGACTGCTTCCCTGTGCACTGAAGGAAGATACAGGCCTGGTGGGGCAGGGTCCACAATCCCAGCTACTGAGGAAGCTAAGATAGGAGGATCACAAGTTCAAGGCTGCCTCAACTCCAAAGACAGCCGGGCAACTTAGCTAGACCCTGTTGGAAGAAATGTTGGAACAGGGGGTTGCCTACAGCTCAGTGGGGGCATTGCTCAAGGCCCTGGGCTCTATCGTCCCCATCACCAAAGGGAAAAGAAGGTGATGGGGACAATTGTGGCTGGTGGGTCATTTTCTCACAGGTACGTAGGACTGGACTTAGTATACCTCTCACATCTTGGCTACAGATAAGCAAACTGTGGCTGATGAACAAATGATGTAGAGACATCACTGAATCCCATATGGGTGGGTGGCATCCTGGTGGAGCAGGCCCAACAGGAATAGGTCGCAGAGGGCAGGAGGACAGAACCACCATTCCTCGTTTTAACTCAAGAGACGACCAGCTCAGATCCCAGAGGGCCACCCCACATCCCTGCAGAGGGCAGGCACACCAGTCACCAGTCAGTTCCATCAGGCCGCCCTCTCGGTGACATCACCACACGAGGGCCACGCTTCCAGGTCACAGGGCCCTCGGGGGATAAGCCGCAGCCAAGCCACAGTGCTCACCCTCTTTGTGGCCCTTCACCAAGCTCCGTGATAAAGGCATGCCTTGGCTTCTTCTCATTCCAACCCTGGGCTGTAGGTACTAGTCGTAGCCTCGCCTCAGTGACGGGAAACGAGGGATCCAGGGAAGGACAGTGACTCACCTGAGCATCCACAGCAGGTGGAGAAGAGCCAGGCTCCTCCTCCACTACACAGCCCATTCCTCCTCCACTCCACAGCGAGTGTCAGTGCAGACACACAGAACAGCAGAGATCCATTGCCACAAAGAAAGCCTCAGTATCCCCTCCCGTAAAGTTCCCTCCACGCACAAGATTGTGGGGTGACGCTTCAGGCTAAAGCCGAGTGCTTCAGAGGCTCCTGGATCCTGGGAGAAGTCCCCCTTTTAAGGCTGAACAGCTGTGGTCTGTGTGGGTCCAGGGGAGATGACCCACACAGCCTCTCGAACCCACAGTTTTTTGCTTCACCATGCTTCCAGAATTCCTGAGCCCGAATTCCACCCGGCCCTCAGATTTTCCTGAGCCTTAATGCCATCCTCCGTGCAGGGAAGCCAAGAGAGGCAGAGAGGTCTGGCAAGGACCTCAGACCCTGCACAGGGCCGTGTTATTCATGCTACCAACCAGGATGATTAAAACTGAGAACAGCAGTAGAAGGCCCTGAAAGCTGGGAACGCTTGTCAGGGACTCCAGGAATCTCAAGGGAGCTCCCCAGCTCTGATACCTCCTCAAGATCTATAAGTGCAAGGAGACTCTGATCTCCCCAAGTCCCCTTAGCCTTTGGTGACCCTGATGCTAGGCTGGGGGGCGGGGGGCTGGTGGCCTGAGGTGAAGAATGTTAGGTCTGGGGAGGGAGGGAGCAGGCAGAGGATGTGTTAAGGTGGAGAGTCCCCTGCTGACGCTGATCCCCTCTTTCTCCTAGTCTGGATGGATGAGTTGGGGGCTTATCAAGATGATGGGGAGTTGGAGCCTGAAGCCTGAGAAGCCATCACGTGGTGGGCCCTGTGTAGTAGCTGCTTGCCCCACTGCCCCTTGCCCTGGGTGATGGGGACAGCGAAGTGGGCCCTGGACCAAGACAGAAGTGGCCAGAGGAACACAGCAGATCTCTGGCCCCAGTGGAGCAGACATCTGTCACCTCCATGTTCTTGCCAGCCTAGACCCCGGCTTGGTGACGAGGAGACTGACCTGCCCTACGGCCACTGTGACCATGGACCCTGGCCGTCAAGGTCACAGCAAACAAGGACTTCTCGCCAGAGCAGGGCCTCTGTTTTTTACAAGTTGTTTTACAGATACAGAACCCACATCCTGAGCGAGATTTATAAATAAAGCTCCTTTGTGATTTGTGGAGTCCTGCTTCTTGGGTTATGGGGGAAGGGGGTGCCTACATGGGGTGAGAGGCAGGGGGCCATCATAGGCAGTCAGGGTTGGGAGCCCAGCGTGTCTGTGCTCTTGGCTTTCTCTTAAGTGGAAATAAAAAGCCCACAGAGATAGCAAAGCAGCCAGGGAATGATATTTAAAGCAAGTGGCAGACAAGATGAGAATAAGGACAGCCTGCCACCAGTTAAAAACACCAGGGGGCTCAGTTACTGTTTGGGGCTTCCTTCCTTGGAGTGTGACAGAGAGCAGCAAGGGCTAATGAGGGGGCAGAGTGAGGATGGTTTCTGTTTTAGTACTTAGGTTTTGTGTCTGTGTGTATACTTGAGTGTAGGGCTGAGAGCCACACACATGCAGTTCCCACAGAGGCCAGAAGAAGGCGCTGGATCCCCAAGAGATGGAGTTAGAGAAGGTGGTGAGCCACCATGTGGGTGTGGAATGTAAGAGCAGCCAGAGAGTAAGGCTCTGCTGGTGCACACCTTTAATTCCAGCACCTGGAGGCAGAGGCAGGTGTGATCCCTGAGTTCAAGGTCAGCCTGGTCTACGGTGTGAATTCAGGACAGCCACAGCTACACAGAGAAACCCTCTCTCAGGAAAGAAAAACAAAACAGAAACCAGAGCAGCCAGAGCTAGCCACTGAGCCACCTCTCTAGCCTTAGATGTTGGCTCCGTTGACGAATTAGGTTATATAATCATTTTCCTTCTCTGCAGTGCCCCTTTCTCATCATGCATCCGATTTTAACCATGTGTGTGTGTGCATAACTATGTATAAGCATAAAATGGCAAGCAGAGATTCTGTCTGAAAGTTCACTTGAGGATATGGTTTTGCTTTTTCGCACATGTACCCAAAACCAGTTGAGGCTGGATTGGCCTTCCTTCCCTAGGACCAGTATGTACTGGGAGTTTGCCTACATGGAAAGTATCCAAGTTTGGTGGTCATGCATGGGAGAGGATCTTGACCCACTGTTCAGAGAAGAGTGTAGGTGTAGCCTGATGCTGCTGGGGTCCGAGGCTGTGGGGGCATGGCGTGGAGAGGGCTGTGAGGGGTGTGTGCCTCCTGCATGCAGTGAGAGAGGGAGGCAACCTCTACAGGTTTCCTGCTGCCCCCAAAGGGCAACTGGAGCTCAGCACCACTCATCCTTTATTCCAGCCTAGGCCCAAGGCCAGCTTCCCTTCCTGAGTACCTCCTGTGCTGGTTATTGCTGCTGTGGAATAGCCTGTTTTGTGGTCTCAAATCTGCAAGCTGGGCAGAGCTGGAAGGGCCAGTTCATCCCTGTTTCATGAGACCACAGCTGAGCATGTGGCATGAGGCTAAAAGGTTGGCATCCAAAGGTGGCCCGCCCTGGTGACTCATCTACCCAGCACAGGCTGGTGAGTGGTCCCTGGCTCCTGGTCTCTCTCCACAGATGGCTTGCACTTCCTCACAGTGTGGTGGCCTGGTTTCAGATGAGTGCTCTGCATTGCTTCAAGGAAGTTACTTGCTGTTGCTTTATCTGGGACGTAGGGGCCATGGAGTATTCCTGGCCTGGCAGCCTGGCTTCACATGGGAACCATATCAAAGGTGCACTTGGCAAAATCACCTGGGGAGGGGAGAGATGTGGCCGTGTGTGTGAGGACAGGCTCCCAGGGGAGTGAAGTCAATAGAATCTGCTCACACCTATTAGAGAAGAGGTTTCTTAGACTTACTTGATCCGGGCTGTCTGCACAGTTCGGGGGCTGAGAAAGCAGACTCCTCAGAATCCCACTGTGGACTAAAGGCCTGGGAGTTTCCTCGAACAAAGACAGGGCTGTGACCTTAGTGGGGATGGCTGCTGCAGAGACAGAGCACAATGTGAAGGCGGGTGTGGACTGCCTCAGGTGTGGTCTGCCCTGTGGAGGGGGAAGCCCATGCCATCCTCTCTGGAAACACCCCCACAAACAGGTACCATTTGCCAGTCCTAGATGGCTCCTTAAAAAAAGAAAAAAAAAAAAAAAAAGGTGGGCTGGAGAGATGGCTCAGAGGTGAAGAGCACTGTCTGCACTTCCAGAGGTCTTGAGTTCAATTCCCAGCAACCACATGGTGGCCCACAACCATCTATAATGAGATCTGGTGCCCTCTTCTGGCATGCAGATGTGCATGCATGCAGAACATTGTAAACATAATAATCATTTTTTTAAAAAATTAAAAATAAAAAGAGGTTTTGTTACTATATGTATTTATTTTATTACTGTATGTATTTATTTGGGGGTTAGGGTGTGCGCACATGTGCTGTGTGGAGGTCAGAGACAGCTTGGGGCACTGGGTCTCTCTTCCAGCATGTGTATGCTGACGATCAAAGTCCAAATCAGCCTTGGTGACAAGCACCCTTAACCTGTGGAACCATCTTCTCTTTTTCAGTCTTGTCTTTGTTCTGTTTTTGTTTGTTTGTTTTCCAAGACAGTTTCTCGTGTAGCCCTGGTGGCCTTGGCTGGGCTGGCCTCCAACTTAGAGATTCATCTGCTTTTGCCTCCTGAGTGCTAAAGGCAAATGCCATCACATCTGGTCCTTTAAAAAATTCTAGATTTATTAATATTATTTTTGTTTTGTATGTCTGAGTGTTTTGTCTACATGTTTGACTGTGTTGTCATTGTGCATGCCTGGTACCCAGGAGGCTAGAAGAGGGCATCCCATGGAGCTGGAGTTACAGATGGTTGTGAGCTGCCGTGTGGGTGCTGGGGATTAAACCCAGGTCCTCTGGAAGAGCAATCAGTGCTCTTATCCACTGAGCTGCGTCTCCAGCCCTGCTACTGAGCTATCATGCTGGCCCCATTTTGCTGGCCCACTAGATGGCTCTTAATCTTGTCAAGCTCAACCTAAGGTTCATGTGTGCCCCGTAGAAGTTCGAATGTTGGAAACTTTTTGAGAGAGCTGTCAGGTGGCATGGCAGGCTGTCCTTGACCTTCTGCAGGTCCTCCTGCCCCGGCCTTCCTAGTGCTGGGATCCCAGGATTGAGCCCATGCTGGACGTAGAGCAGAGGCTTTGGAGGGGGATGGAACTAAATGAGGCCTTGAGGTTGGAGCCTCTAGATCAACCTGGAGGTCACAGCCCCCTTCAGAGGGGTCAGCAAAGACCATCGCCAGGCACGGATATTTACACTGCAATCCGTAGCAGTGGCAAACTTACAGTTATGAAGTGGCAACAAAAACAACTGTATAGGTGGGCGTCACCGCAACATGAGGGACTGCCTGAAGGGTTGCAGTGTCAATGGGGCAGCGTGGCAGGAAGGCCAGGTACTCCAGCCTCGGGAACCAGGTTAGCTCAGCCTCTTTATAAACTGCTCCTATGAATGAGGCAGCGTGGACACCGCCTGCCATGTGACAGACACCCCTGTAGGTACCTGTAACATATGCACAAATACATACACACCTGCGCACACATGCACACAGGCAGACACACAGAAGCTGGTGATATCGCTCAGTGTCGGAGTGCTTGCCGAAAAGGTATGAGGCCCATGGTTCGATTCCCAGGACCGAAAAATAATTAGATGCACGGGGCTGGGGTATGACTCGGCGGTAGCGCATTTCCCTAGCTTTCAGAAGACGGTGGGTTCAAATTCTTAGTGCTATCAAAGGGGAAAAAAATAACAAAGAAATTGGGGTGTGATTACTTGGGGCCACAGTCTCTCTGCAGGCTGTATTCTTTTTTTTTTTTTTTTTTTTTTGAGATAGGGTGTCTCCGTGTAGCCTTGGCTGTTCTGGACTCGCTTTGTAGACCAGGCTGGCCTCAAACTCACAGAGCTCTGCCTGCCTCTGCCTCCCTGAGTGCTGAGATTACAGCCATGCACCGCTGCACCTGGCTTTGCGGGCTATATTCTTTTTGTTGTTGTTTGTTTGTCTCTAATGTTTATTTATTTTATGTATATGAGTGCTTTATCTTCATGTTTACCTGCACACCAGAAGAGGGCACCAGATCTCATTATAGATGGTTGTGAGCCATCATGTGGTTGCTGGGAATTGAACTCAGGACCTCTAGAAGAGCAGACAGCACTCTTAATCACTGAGCCATCTCTTTAGTCCCTCAGGCTATATTCTTATTGCCTTCATCCCACAGACAGATAACTTACTTGAACCAGAGGCCTCCATCATTGCCAAAGTCATCTAACACTGAGCAGGACAGAGGCAGCATTTAAGTCTAGGGCTGTGCTTGGCCTGTCCAGGCTCCCCTGTCCTTTTTGCTGTGCACTGGCCAAGGCAGATCCTTGAAGCATCCTTCATCCCCAGGGCGCCAGGCCCGCCTGATACGTTTTCTTCTTGCTCCCTGTCAATGGAAGGAACCTTGGAACTCAGGGCCGAGTTTCCCCATCTGCCTGCAGTGCTCTGTGGCCTCCAGCCTGCTCAGCCACTAGCCCTGGCTAATAGCTCTCTTCATCCAAGCTCTTAGTGCCACGGCAACAGGGCTGAGGTGTGAACAGGGGAGTGGGTGGGACAGTGGACTAACCCTCTGAACTGCAACCCTGTCCCAGTTCAATGTTTCTAGCCCACTGTCACCACAGTGGGAAGCAGGGCAGCGTGCAGCAAGCTCAAAGGAGCCGAGATTTCTACATCCGGACCCTCAGGCAACCAGAAGAGAGAGTGGGCCACTGGACCTGGCCTGAGCATCTGAAACTTCAAAGCCCACCCCCCTGACACGCCTCCTCCAACAAGGCCACGCCTCCTAACAGTGCCACTCCCTATGAGCCCGTGGACACTATGACCACCTCATGGCAAGGGAAACCCTAACTAAGACAGGATGGAAGTCAGAACCTGGCCCATGCTATCGCCACCATTGAATATCCCCCCCCCCCTGCCCTTGCTTCCCCTTCTCCCCACCCGGTTATTCAAGACAGGGTTTCTCTGTGTAGCCCTGGGTGTCCTGGAATTCACTCTGTGGACCAGGCTGGCCTTAAACTCAGAGATCCACCACACTCAGATCCTCTCGATAGCTTCTAGGTGAGCCTTAAATATATT